CGGGTGAGGTGGCCGCGGGTGCCCGGCTCTGCGCCGGGGGCAGGGGGGAAATGTCGATTTAACAGGTTGCGACGGGCGTGTGGTCAGCGGCGCTCTTGGCGCCCGCGTTTTTGGCTGTGAGGTAGGTAGGAGAAGGATTTTGTTAGCAACTTGTCACTGCCGCTATTGCTAATATTGGCTTCTGATGCTATAAAACGCTTCCTAGGAAGCCGCGTCTTCAGCTGGGTGTTGGATAACTCTCGGGTGTCCGGCAGCTGTCAAAAATACCGGGACATGTAGTTGTTTATCTCCAGCCCCATTCGGGCTTTAAGATGGTTCATACACATAAGGAAATACCAAAACTTTTTCTTAATGGTAACAGAACGAAAGGAGAACAAGAAATATATTTGGGCATCTTTATGGCCCTAAAGGCAGTTTAATCTCCCCAGGGTGGTATTTTCTTAGGCAACGACCCTTACTTTACAAAAAAAAGAGAAGTGATTACGTTTTTTCATAAAGTTTTTGAAGGACCGACACTCCCTCGTGCTAACTTTTTAACTCTGTAATGTGGTATTTTTTATTTTGCATATGTAATTTATGCATAATGGGACATTATTTCTTTCTGTCATTTACTGAATGCATTGTCTGAATCTGTCGAGAGGTTCTTTTATTCTTTTCATTTAAGAGGCACAGGATTCCTTGCAATTTCACTAATATAAATTGGGTTATGCAGGTAAATAATTTTGGGACTAACTAAAGAGAGACATTGAAATTTGTGCCATTTCTAAGTTTGCAAGTCCTAAGTTAGAAGTCCAGGAAGGGATGAGTAATTGATCAGGGGTTTTAGGTCTTTTGTGGGATGGTTTTTGTTTGTTTGGTTTGGTTTTTTGCTGCAGGACATATGACATTTGCAAAAATTTGTCACTGTATCCTTCAAGGATCATGCTGTAATAAACAAGCAATATTACTAGACGCTTTTATTTTTCTTCCTACATACTGTGTCGCTTGAATAATTTCGGTGTTCTATGACACAAAGGCCTTGTATCTTTGTGCATACAAAGTGGTTCAAGAAGATGAAAACTATTTGGCTGTGAATAAAAGAAAAAGAAATGAAGTGGCAAACAACTAAAATGTTAGCCATGCTCAGTTGCATTTTTCTATAGCAGCACTCAATAAGTTGGCAGGTTTCAAAGTACAGTTTTTGTATTCATACAGAGCAGTCTGTTTTCAGGGTGTCTTACTTTATGGTTTTGAAAAGCTATAGGTGTACTCCCTGAAGTCAATGAAAAGACTTATACAGGCTTGCCTGACTCGCAAGAATTAATTCTAAAATCTTTTCCAACATGTCATTCTTTCATATGAGCATTGTTTCTGATGTTTCTGGGTCATATGCTTTTAAACTTCCAGTAGAAGACCTCTGGACTTCTGGGCTGGTTCCATCCTTCTCCTACACGGAGAAAGATTCCATTTAGGCTTAGCATGAACCTTTGTGAAATTTGTGTTGCATTTTCTGTGCAGCTGGAAAGGCAGTCTGGGTTTTAGGTAGCTTGCCATGTTCTTATATTCATTCTTTTCACACCCCATTATGGAGGAGGCATGAAAAGTATATTTGAGACTGAAAATCCTCTGCTACAATGTGTATAAGTTTGGTTGTTGTTTTTACATTGGAATAGGGAGAAATTTCAGTTTTTCTCTCCCTGGATCCAACAATATCTTTTGATTGAAACTTTCATTTCTAGTCAAGTCTAAAGTGTTAAAAATTGCTGATGACAAGGTTGCAATGATTTGATTTTTGTAATATATTGAGTCTCTTCTAAGCTCTGAGAATTTGGGGTATATATAACATTATGCATTTGTGTCTTTACATGTAGGCAAAACCCAGTTCTTCAGTACCTGAGGATGGATAAAGACTTCCGCTACTACTTCCAGCACCCGTGGTCTCGCTTAGTTGTGGCTTACTTAGTGATCTTCTTTAACTTCTTAATATTTGCTGAGGACCCAGTATCTCACAGCCAGACAGAAGCCAATGTTATTGTTGTTGGTAATTGTTTCTCCTTTGTAACAAATAAATACCCTGAAGGAGGAGGCTGGAGATTTTTGAAGGTGTTTCTGTGGCTCCTTGCCATTCTCACAGGACTAATAGCTGGGAAATTTCTCTTCCATCAGCGCTTGTTTGGTAAGTTAAACAATGCATCTACTGACTTCCTGGTAATGACTTTCAGACTTTTCCTTTTAGCTTTCTACTCGTGGCAGTTTTGTAAACTTTACTTTGAATCGCTTCTGCTGTTTAGAGCTGTATAGAACATCAAAGCTTACACCATTGTGGCAGCTAAAGCCATAATATAATTCTCAATGATTTCAGTCAAAGAAGGATAAAAATAGTGAAAGGTGACATATTTTAAATACTTGGAAGATCAGTAATTTTCAGTTTTTCCAGGTTTGCACCTTCAGACCAGTTTTTAGGTCTTATGTAACTTTCTCAGCAACTTGAAGAAAAGAAGTTCTTCCTTGAGGCAGCAACACTGCATGTCTTGTCAAAAGACACTTAAGTGGAAGCAGAGGCTCTTGTAAGTATTAGCAGAGCTGTGCTGAAGAGCTCCCACGTGAAAATGGGAATTCTAGAGAGGTAGGACCTCCCTCTGTTTTAGTACAAGAGCAAATCATTAAAAAGGAAAGGTTGGAAATGGGGGAAAACATGACAGTAAATGTTTCCATACACAAGATATGACTTAACTGAGGAACATACTGTAGATGGACTAAGTGAAAGGAATGAAATGGCCCTGGAATAAATTCAGCAACTGAGAATTTAGGAGTAAATATATAGAGGTACAAAAATATCCACTGTTGTCTTAACTTACGTGTAGAGAATGTTGCGTCTGAAGGCTCAGGGCTGTCTCTGTGTTTTAGAGATAATTAGAAATCTTCAGTAGAAAAGATTTCTTTGTTCCTGCCATTTGCACTGTTCTTTGAAACATCTGATTCTGGTTGCTGCTGGTCTAGATGGACAACCCACATATTCTTATACTGGTAGCACTGCAGGATGGATGGTTACTGGAACACCTGGAAGCACATGAGCAATAGGCCATTTCCTTAGTCTGTCTCATTCTATTAAGATCAAGAGATAGCCACTATTGTTTCAATAAATCAAATGTAAAGCTGTTGTGTTGAGGAATGAACAAACAAAGACACATCAAGATACTTCTTTTAATACAGACTTCTCTTGAAACACTTATTCTGAAAAATAATTAGGCATCATGAAGATTATTCAGCTATTTTACCATCGTGTAATGGTAAACATAAAATATTCCCATAAAGAGAACATTTTACCTGGACAAGGGCTATCACAAGAATGTTTTCAATTCTGGCTTCCCAAATTGAGAAATTATATTGTTAAACTGAAGATGTTTAAGGAAAAGTGATGAAACCGATAAATTTAGAAAATTAGCCTGATAGTGAGAGGATTGAGAGGATAAAGGAAAGATTAGAGAGTGACTTGCTCAAATTTGAAGGACAGAACTTTCAGTTCAGCATATGTAATCCAAGGTCCAGTGCTTGGAAGTGGCAGATAGCCAGTATTTTTTTTTTTTTATCTGAAAGGCTAGACAATCAGTGGAACAAGTTTTTATGGGATATGACCTCATCAAGACACAAATTTTTCTTTTTGAGAACACACTTTTCTGACTACTGAGTAATTGTCTTCTATCTATATAGGTTATTGTGATAATTCCATCTGGATTTGTAAGTCAATATCATATGTAGCTAAACATAAATTTTAAAGTGGCTTGATTCAGTCCTGCTGCCAAATGGAGAAGGTCTGTCCAGACCAGTGTCTGCTGCTTTGTGTCTTTGTGATGTTGCTCAGTGAAACAGGATAGGGAGTTTACCCATATTAGCAGTACCCATCTTTTATTTCTGTGAGGATCACATTTCTGACCATACCGATGTTTGTGGCAGCTCTAAGAGGGGTCAGCATTGAGAGGAAGCTAATGGGCAAGAAATTCCTAACCCTGAAGGCAGTGCTGGTTTGTGGATATTTGTGGTTGTGTCTGGGCATAAGTACAGTCTGATTTGAAGCTAGCTTCTGCACATTGAGTTTCATGGCAATTTGAGCCAATGTAGATCTATCACAACCCCACCCTCCTAATGCCAGCCACATCGTTTTGGTGCCTTCCTTGAGCCAGTGCTGCTGTTGATGTGACAGTGCAGCAAGCCAGCTCAGGCAGCCAGTCTCATGGAAAATCAGTTCCTTCTGCTGCCGTCTGCAGCATCTCCTTGAACTGATGCGATTGCTTGAGTGCCAGTGCTGATGAAATGGCCAAGGGCTGTGCAGCCAAGATAGCTGGGGGCTGTGGCAGCCGTACCTTGTGTTGGCTCGAGTGCTGTGGGACTGCACCCACACAGTGTGACAGTGGGAGTGTGCTGCTGCTTGTGATACACTGTGAGCAGATGGCAGGCAGTGTGACTGGAGCTGACTGTACTGCTGACTGATGTGGCTGTGTAGCTGGTGTGGATAGAGATTGCTTGATGAGATGTGGGTTTACAGCTTCAGTTATCTCTGTGTCTCCAGAAGGTTTGTACAGCCCATGCTGAAATATTTTCTGCTTGTTATTTGCTACTACTTTAATGACTTCATTGCTTAGAAATCACTTCTTTTATTGGGATCCTCATCAAATATATCTGGATCTTCTGGCATCAAGCAGTTCATGAATTCACCGCTTTATTGTTTTTAATTTCCCTAGTCTATTTTTCTGAATAGCTGCTACTTTTTTAATTTCTTTTCTATTTTTTTTTTTTTTTAATGTATAATTGCTTGGGACCACTCTGGTTTTGAATCCTTGTTTATTTATTTTAGTTTTTGTTTTTTTTTTTTCTCTGCTACACTCTGTTTTCAGGGGCAATTGTGACTGGTTGTTTCTTACGGCCTGTGTATAACTTCCTGCAGTCAGGAAACCAACTAGCACCAGTCAATCTCCCCCTGTCAGATCTTGGCTCACAGTGTAGGCTGCAAATTGAAAATGAAAAGGATTAGTCTGCGCATCTCACTTTAAATGAATAGGAAGGGAAATGATTTTCTTTCTCTATGCCCTTTCTGCTTTTTTGTTCCTTGTCTTCTGTATTTCTTGCTGTTGAGTTTGCATAGGGACTAGAAAAATAGAGTAGCTAGAACTGTGTCATAATACAGTTTACTGTCTGTGGCAGTCATTGCCTTGACTGTCATGGACTAAAAAAGTAAAAGAAATAAGTTCAAGAATCTTATACATCTAAAAGGGGAAAGAGACAGGTGCTGGAAACCTGATTTAGGCTTCATCACTCTGAGTTTACCAAGAGATAAGGGAGTAGGTAAACTATATTGATGAAAAGTAGAGATCTCAGCTGGAGGACAAGGTGGGATGTTTTCTGTTGCAACCTTTGAGCAATATCATCTTCAGGGAATCCTTCAAGACACTCCTTATGACTTAAAACAAGATTAGAAAACAATTGCTTCTCTAGTTCTTCAGTCAAGAAATAGCTTAATTCATTTGATAAACATCTCCCACAATAAATATTTCTGTGGAAAACAGCCCTTATCTAGTACATTCTTTATATCCATGGCATGTGGTCAGAACAAGTAGAATTTATTATTGTCTTTTGGCTGTTATCCACTGTATTATTTTGATCCATCACCAAGCACATCTATTTGGTTAGATATTGTGTTCTGCTGTGCTTTTTATTTTGCAGTGGAAAGTAAAAGGTCATTGAAGAATATTGGAAGTTTGGGGCAATGAAAAGTAAATATACCTACCCCTGGTTTGTTTTTCCTTTGAGAAAGATGAAAGAATTACTTGAGATAAGGGAAAGTGTCAATTTCTTAATTGATTTTTTGCTTTATTTAAACCAGAGAGAGCTTACAAACTGATCCATTTGATGATACTATGCATTCAAAAAATGCATTCAAATCTTGACTTAAAAGAAATTCCTAAATAAGCATTTCCCTATTTTTCATAAAGCTGTGGGACATTGTATGGAAAATAACACAGTGTTTAAGGTGTAGCAAGTGTATGTTTTAATTGGCATCTGCTCAGCATACACACAGTTGTTCTTTTGCGCTACTTCAGACCTAAATTCTGCGTTCAGTGTGGGTTTTCTTGGCCCAAAGTTCAGGCTGTGCATTTTGCATTAATATAGATAAACATGATCTATCAAGTACATTTAAGATAGTCTTTAATTTGATCAGACTTTTAGTGATACACATAAATGGGCAGTACACTTGGAAATGTATTTTTTCAATCCAGCATTTTTGCTTTGACTGCTGCTTATGTGCACTAATCCTTAGCTTAGTGCATATTAAATACATCAGTTTTTAAAAACTTACTACAAAACATACATGTTTCTACCTGCCCATTTTTGTGTTTCTAAAGATGTATTAAAATCTGGCTAAAAGCCTGATTACAGTACTGTATTTGTATTGTACTTGCATTTGAATCAGTTGTCAATGAACCTGCTTAGATTTCTACTTGTAAGTTCCTTTCTAAATGGTGTGAATGGAAAAACTAAATGCTTAAATGTGTTATAAAAAATTACAGAAAACAAGATATGTATAACTAAATCTGTATTTCTTAAAATGGAGGAATCATAATACAGCAAGTTAATTAGAGCTGTTGTATAAATGTTAAATTTAATGGTTTGCTCTCTTACAAATGTTCACAGTATGCAGTTTGTTTAAAATTAAATGATAATCTGAGCTTCGTAGACACTGGGATAAATGAATAAAGCACTCATTATAGGAATTGCACTGAACCGTGGGCGTACACGAATGTTGCAGATTTTCTAATGGACAGTAGCGCCATGCTGGGAGCAATTTCATGATACGTGGTTTCAAACAAAACACCCACCAAGGCTATGCTGTCTGAAAACATTACTCTTCTTGTCAAACATCTTATCTGGAAGGCTCTAAAAGATCATGCAAATGTCTTAATAGCAGATTCTTCAGTGTCTTCTATTATGCTGAAGTTTAAGGGGTGTACTAACTGAAGATGCCAGGAGGAAATTAGGCAGACTGGGATTTAGCCAGGAGGATGGTGCACTGCATAGGAAAAGTGGTTAGTTAGATTAGTTAGTATCCTGTTATATTAGGGGTCATGTTAGTGTAAAATCTGGGCAGTGGTATTGCTGCTAATGTTGGCATATCACTTTCAT